TTTCTTTTAATCTAATTTTTGTAAAGCGAGATATGGACATGAGAATCTGCACAAAGACCCTCGGTCTAATTATTAGCTTATATTTTGAAAATATAACAAGAAAAATGGAGTAAACGAGAAATAGCACCCAAAGATCCATAAACAAAATATACGAATACATCATCGATTCTCGTATCTTTTTGAGTCCAAATGACCTTGACATAATCCAATTCTATAGGTATTGCTGCTATTACAAGAACGCAAATTTGCATGAATATTTGTAATTAAATCGTGATCGTTACGGGCCAGACAAATCACCCGGAGACCTTTGGTACGGAACCGCTCTTTCATTCGAGCGGTATCTCATCTCGCGACGCCATACTTGTTTCAAAGTTCTTTATTCGCGCGGTATCAGATTTTAATCGCGGCTTCGTTTTTCTCTTCGATTATCATTTCAAAGTCCGCCAAAGACGGCGGCGCAGCTTGACCAGCTTCGACGGCGGCGAGTCGCTCGGGATCGTTTCGATTCCCGATCGGCCTCGATTGGTATCGACCGGTTCAGCGATGACTCACGAAATAAGATTCCTGATACGGTGGCACCGATCTTTTTCTTATCGTTAATTCGGCACGATAACATCCCGGCGACACGTTCTTCGTTAATAACGTCATTTCGGTCGCCCGGGATCGGCGAGTTCGGAAAGAATCGCGCATTTCAATCGGCGCCGCCTCAAAGATCGCCGTCCAGGAAAAAAACGATATCACTATTTCTCTCTCTCTCTCTCTCTCTCTTTCTCTCTTTCTCTCTTTCCCTTTCTTTCTCGGCGGGATATCTGGACCAGGTATGAATATATCATGGAAATTTACTCACAGGATTACTTATTATAGCTCGCCGTTGGACGTTCTCTTTGCCTTTTTATTCCACAGTCCGAACAATTGCGACACTCGAATCGTTTTCCAACTATAAAATCCTTTGGCTGGAATATTATTCAATTGTTTTAAAGCGAACACCGTGGTAGATGCATTTGGATCCCGTCCAAATGAAGAACTTTGGACGCCGTTCAAATCGAAGTAGAAAGCGACCCTTTAATTTAATTTTTACGTATCATGAAATTTAAAAAGTAGGCTATACCTTGGTGAGAAAAAGTTGGCTGATACTGCGACCATATGCCGATTTCGACGCGGCCTGCGACATCGTTTGAGACCGTAACCGACACGCCGTTCACATCTTTTCCGACTACTGATGAAGTTTATGCTGTATACTTCTTCGATCGCAATACAATTTCTTAGTTGTGTTGGATATCGAATCAAGGATCGAGCAAAATTATTTCCATAATTTTTTTTTAATTTCCTATTTTTATACGAAAGAGATGTTATTATATTTTTATGAAGCCTCGATTTTTAGAGCGACATTCTCACCAAAAATTTACGAATTAAAAGGAATTAAGTTAACATTGTAGAATTTACGTAATTAAGCTTCTTCGATTCATTCGCTTATTAACACTAGATTTACAGAGCAGCTGTTTTGTATTAGTTCATAAAAGTCACAATAACACATTGATTCTGATTTTCAACAAGTGTTATTGTAATGTCACCGTACGAATAATCGAAAATTAAAAAATTAGTGACCCGTCATTTGGACGGATTCCGTAAATCTAGTGTTAATACTTTAAAAATTCATTTTTAGTTCTGGATGAGAGAATCACATTTTCCTTGAACCAAGGAAAGGGTTTCTCCCCCCCCCTTTTTTAGAAATCAATATGTACAGTTTCAAACGAATGGTAACGTTCCCTTATTATTATATAAAACCTAAGAGAGATCAGGATGTTTCCGCCAAAAGAGGATCCCCTCTTTAGGGGGTTGAACGAAGGAGCAAAGCGAGAACCTCGAAGGATCGAGGATACGGACACGGGTTCCTGGAATCGACGCGAGTACGTCGGGTAGAACAAGCGGATATCAAAGAGAGTATCGTGCAGCCTTGCCGGCAGTCAGGCGGCTTCTAACTGCTAATGATCGCGGTGTACCGTAACGTGCTACACGATCTCAACGATAAACTACAGCGCACCCGGCAGCACCCGCGGCACCGCAAACCCGTTTTTCGAGCAATAGACTTTTTTCTACCCGGTACACCTTCTCCTCTGTTCGTTCGTTCCTTCTTCGCGCAACCGCAACCCCCTTCCGATGCGAGTTTCCCTGTTCAACGACACTAAACACTTATTTTCTGTTGATTACAACAAAAATGTTGTATTATTAGATCGACCATTAAATTCGTAGCCTTTTCTTTTGCACGGCCCCCTTCTGTTCATGCGAAACCACATCCGAATGGTTCGCAAGAAACTGGGAAATGTCAAAATTTCTCAAGAAACGACAATTTATTTTTCGATCTGTCATTTTGCGTTGTGGTATTCCAGAAGTTATAATTGCTACTTACGATTCAGTAAGCACTTCAGTTTCACATTGTTAATTGTGTAATAATAATAATCGACTTTTGTTTATAGAAATCTGGAGGTGGCATAAGTCACTTTGTTTTTAAGTCGATGCTAACTTTCGAGAAGATTTACTTGTATTTGTTATCTCAGGATACTGAAATTTTTCTCAGTATAAATAATTTCGTATAAACATTAAAAAATCACCACTTTTCATTACGGTAAAGTGACTTAAGCCACTTTCAAAATAAATAGTTTAGAAAAATGACTGACATATATTAATTTTGTTCGACGTATTTTACTGAAGTGATGTTTTGAAAGGACAGTGATTTACTAAAATTGTTGAATAAATTACATATATAATAATAATTTATACCATGAACATATTTAATATAAAGGTTTGATTTAAGTATTTTTTATTTTAATATTCATAAAATACAAAAATAATTAGTACATTTTGAAACATAAGTATAAGTAATTTATATGAAAATACATCAGTTCAATTTAATTTTCGTCATCAATAGGAGTGATTAAGTCCTCGGAAATCGTGTTTTGTTTCAAATTTTTTAAATAACTGTGGTATATTGGGGGTATATAATTAAACAAGTCCATCGTGTCTTTGTATTTTGCTGAAGAAATAGGACGAGATCCGGCGTATAACGGATCCATTTCTATTTGTGGATAAAAAATAAGTAAAAAATAATAAAAATAAATAAAAATAAAATAATAAAATAATAAAAAATAAAAATAATAAAATAAGTCCAGTGATCACAACTTTCTTAAAAATACTGAAAATAATTTAAAACAATACTTCACACACACTTACCATACGTTTCTATTTCTTTTACACTAAGCCCCGCAATTAATTTCCTGAGTACAGCGACTTATGCCACTTTCAAAATAAACATGTTTGTTATACCGTTAATTAGCAAAACTTCTCTCGAACAAATCTCAGTAGTTCTCAACTTATTGATTACAATTTAAAAAAAAATGAAAAAATACCGCTCAATTGTAATTAGTGTTACCATTAACTCGATTTTTTTAAAAAAGTGACTTATGCCACTTTCAAAACAAACGACTCAATTTACCTAGAATAAAGTGACCTAGTAATTATTTAAAATAATATTTCTCAGATTGTATCCAATATAAGACCATAAAATCCCCACGAATACCATCAACGGTGTTTTAACCTCTAATACATCTGTAGCTGCAAGGAAGAACGACGCGAATCACACATGTTTTCACTTCCGAGATATTGTCGCTTAAAGTTCCATATTAGCAGTGAAGAAGTAATTATGCAAACGCTTCAAGATTATCTGCACCGTTGCACGACAGAAGCAAAGCCGCCCGAGGCACGTAATCGAAACTACCCTTGACGTAGCCGAGACCTTGGCGCCCCACCCTCGCGCTTCTCTACCCATTTCCCTCTGACTCGATGCTTACCCCCGCCCTTTTCTCGGAAATTTTATTGTCTGGTTACTTCGCGCGGCTTAACCTGGCCCGATTGTCAGTCAGCGGCTAGCTCCGCTGCAGCGAGGAACCCCGATCACTTGGTCTTGGACAGTTTGCACTCGAAAGTCACGAGAAATCCGATGACACGGAGGGACTTCGACTCTGATAGTTCGTTTCGGCTGCTCGCCAGCGCATCCGCATCGGCTCGTGCGTCACACGTTTTCCTTCATCCGATTCATTACGGTGTAAGAATACGGCATTTCTGAACGAAAGTCGAAACGATTATTCATTGAATTTGAAGTCTCGCAAGGCGTATTATCTGGGTGGCGGTAAGAGGATTCGAAGATTCGAATACAAGTCATCCAAGAAGACAATTGTCCGTATAGCTAAATTATTGCTAAAATTGTACATCGAACGCTGCGAGAAAGAGTTGGTAGAGCAGTCGAAGACGCGGCAGGTGCAAGGTGAATTTTCCTGCGGCGGAGTCCTCAGAAAAGGCCGCGTCTCCCGGGGGGTTATCGAGGAAGCCATCGTGGGGAGAGGGAAGCAGGTACAAGACGGACTTTTGAGTGCCGGTGTCTCCAGAAATCGGCTGACGATCAATCGGCCGGACAAACTGGCCTGGAGAAAGCGTCGTCGGTCAGGGGGACAGAGGAGAAGCCGATTGGAAAGAGCGTTCTCCCGCCCCTAGCGGGGGTCTCCGTCAATTAATCTTCCGCAGGCTGTGCTCTTCCGGGTACGAAAAAGAGCGACGCGGAGGCAGCCGTCAAAGAAAACACCCACAACAAACAAGCGGCAAAAGAGCAAGAAGAGGCCGCCGGCAACAAAGAGGCCGCGACGGAGAGGAGCAGAGGAGAGAAAGAGAAAGAGAGAGATAAAGAAAGAGAGAGAGAGTGAGAGAGAGAGTGAGGGAGGGAAAGGGAGAGAAAGAGAGGCGAGAAGAAAGAGAAAGGGTGAAGCGCGAAGAAGAGGAGGTGTCGGTCGCTGTTCCTCGGCCGTGGCTGGCACGTGCGCGCACCGGCTCCTCGTGACTCGGAAGAAGGGTTCGCCTTCGCCACTCGGCGGAAGGAACGAAGAAGGAGAAGAAGAGGAAGCGTGCGAAGCGGAAAGTGGCGGCAGTGTGCCGCGAACCGTCAACCGGGACGTGCGTCGAGCCCAGTCCAGCTTGGACTCGGTCCTCATGTTTTTCATGCGTCCAGACGCCACGTGGACTCCACTCTCCAGCTTCAACCCTCAGCCACCAGTCTCTCCGTTCATCGATCGTTCATCGCACGCGACACCGTTCCACGGTATGACGATACCCCGCGGCGTGTCTCTCTCGTGAAAACCACTCGGTGAAGACCAGCGATCGAAGATGATCCAGGGGTGACCCGGACCGCCGAGGATTTCCGGGGGTGCGACCCCGGCTCATTGCTGCCAGAACTCCATATTCGAGGACGCGAAACTGTGCCGTGAAGATGAAGACAGAAATACAGGTGAGTCGTTTACGACCCCTACTGGGGGGCGAGTCTCTTTCGCCGGTCCTACGGGGTGCCGCGGTAATGGGAATGTGAAATTTTCATGTCCCTGGGAATTTGCTTCTCTAAATTCGTGCATGCTTCCGTGACTCGAGACTGGTAGTTAAATGTTACCGCAGAAGATGTTTAGATGTTATTTGTAAAGCTGTCTCTGTTGTACGGCAGATTCCATTATTCTCAGAGTTAGGTGTTAATAAATCAGATCGTTGTGGATAGTGACGGATAGATGCGCTTGTTGCGTGGCGTCAACTATTTTACGTGTTATTAAATCGAAGTATCATAGGTGTCCAACGATGCGAACGCTTTAGAATGCAGGAAATCGTTGTGCTATCTTCTTTCGAAATGATTCTTGATTAGCATTACAATTGGTTATAAACAATTCATTTAGTTTCAAGTTGTTTTATTAGTAAATAAATAAATGTGTTTGCCGGCGAAGCGGTCCAGGAGCTTTATGATCCGGATAATTTCGTTATAAATATCATATTCTTCAAGACGAATTGTCTATCTCTTTGCCATGAGTTTATAACAACTTCAAAAAAAAGAAACGTCCAAACAAATGAACATTTACAGTTTCACATAATTAAGTTCACAAGGTTACACTGTGACACCAAAATGACATTCTACGTTGCTTTTTGTTAGTAGGACTGAGATTTAGTTCAAAATAACTTCCCCGTTATTCGTTTCACAATATAAAATTAATTAAATACACGTAGAAATACTTATCGCGGCAATCGGACCGCAAAAATTTGTATACAAAATAAAAATTGCTTTTTTCCGATTAACTAAAACCAGATTACATGATATTTTGTACAAGCGCGGGGGTTTTAATCGTGCGTGCTCCAGAACCATTGAGCCATTTCATGGGAATGTCGAGGACGATGAGTCGTAAAGAATTTCGAAGCAGGCGAAAGACAATGGACATCGCCTAAGGGGAAAGTCGATTTCCATTGGCGTTTATTTCGCCGAGAGGGTGGCCTGTTTACACGCGTGTGCACATAGACACACCGTAAAACGGGTAGCAGAAGACAACCCGGTCCTCTTTTAACGCTCTTTGATCATCTCTTGGTTATGCTTTCACGGCCTCCTGTTATGCTTCCTCCTCCGCACTCCGGTCTGGCTCTCCCCCCTGGGTCAGATCCTTTGCTTACGTTTCGAGCTTGAACTTTCAAGTACGATTTAGCGAAAGCCTTTGAACCTGGTCTCCACGCAATTCCGACCAGCGGCATCTAAGGGTCGTTTGACTTTTGCCAGCACGCGCAGCCGCGAGATACTTCTGTGCTCCAGCCTATTGTTCATGATCTTGCTGCAGAAGCGTAACGTGTTGTTCGCCGATTATTTAGTCGGTTCTTTAACGCAGCAGCATATGATCTTTCGTCGTTTTACTATAAAAGGCACGATTAATAAATGATACATGGTAGCTAAATTTCAGAATAGCCAATGTCAGAATTCTCTATCGTCCAAATACGTTCCACGTGCAGTTTGCTGGATCGAAGACAATTCATTTGGAAAACGATTTACTAAATAAATCGATAAAAATTCGAACTAGAGCACCGTATCTGATTGCAAGTAACTGTTCTATTGTCCGAACGTCAATGTCACTTTACTTATCCCGGGTAATCGAGGCTCCACTGTATTTCGTAATTGTTTACCGCTAACTGAAACAGGAGAAACGAAAATGCCTCGAGAATTTTTAAATACTGTCGCATTACCATCGGTTTGTTTCAGTGATTAACACTTAAATGACTGCATATTATTTCCCGTAGGCTTACTTGAAGACTTACCAAGTTTTACTAAGAATACACATTGCGGTGTATGCTTTGGGCATCTTCTGGTAAAATTTTTACTCTAGAATTGCTTCGGAAAGCTTCTAGATTTATGGTTCTGTCTTTTGTCCAAACATCTTCATTTTCCGATTGTTTGGATTTGTTCGTCAATTGTTCGTTCTCAGCATAGAGAATACGTGAAATCTCGTGAGCGATCGTTTGAATGTTAAAAAATACTCCGTTCGATTTCGAGCAGTTGCAGAAAATCCTTACAATAGACACGCGCGAATGATTTTTATTCTGCGGTCACAAGAAAATCCTTAAAGTCGTCTTATTGTCATCGCTCGAACGTCGATGCTTTGGTTTATGCGGACCCAGAGTGTAAATATTGTTGCGAATCACTCCGTTTTTCTCTCGCATTTTATTTACAATATTGAAACTTTAACACAGCTCGATACAATTATATTTTAGATCTTTCAATTTGAAATGTTGCTCGTTCGACAGTCCGATCTCGACTCTTCGATTGTCCGTTGGCAACACTCTTCCGTGGCAACCCCTATCTTCTATTATTTTTAGGGAGTTGTTCACAACAGGGCAGTTTCACATTACAGCGACTTGATTTGGACAAGTCGCCGTAACAATATCGTTACTCGATTGTCCAATTTCTGACAGTATAGAGTTTTAGACTTCTACATGTTTCATTCCAATTCGTAGAAAAACCAACGCATCTGGAATAACATTTTCGTCGAGGATGTTCGCACCTCGAGTGTTAAATAAGAGAAGTCGGCGTGGTCTCGTCTGAAATGAAATTGCAATAACGGCAGCTTTAATTGCGCTGAAGTTCCGCAGCTAATCTGCCGGTAAAAAGTTGAGCAAAGAAATGCCGAAACTGGTTGAACCTGCGGGGAGGAACCCCTCCGTTGAAACCATTGCAAATGCCTCTAAGTCGTGGAAGTTCCTTAAGCCCCGGTTTCAGACTAAGTCGAAGCAAGTTGGAGGCGACACATGGCTCGAACGAGGACGCACGCGATCCCCGAACACATAATAAATCACAGCCGCGAATCTAGACACACGCGACAAACCGCGAGACCCGGGCGACACGCCTAAATTTATCGTCGTTCTTTGTCGACAGCTCTCGGGGGGTGCCTTCTGTCAGGAGTACGTGGCGCCAAAACTATCTCTCTCTCCCCTTCCCTCCCCCTCTCGCTATCTCTCTCTCTCTTTCTCTCTTTCTCTCTGCCTCTCTTCTCTCTTTGCTCTCCCCGTCCGCGATTAATTAAATTTGAATTCTTCGAAGCGTTCGAGACGTCCTTGACGGCCAAGGAATTTTATTTTAATTTATCGAAGCAGGAGGAACGCGCGAGCCGCCCTAAGAATTCCACTATTTTCGTGAACACTCCGAGAAGAATGCCGGCAAGCCCGCCGGATTTCGTTTTGTTTCCACTTGGCGCAGCATCCGCGAGCGCGGCTATACAGAATTTGAACTCCGACCGGTTCATTTGCTTCGCTAATTTCGCGAACAAACTTCCGCGGATGTTTTAAATTCAGAGAGCCGACCGTTTTTTCAAGAATCTTCAACCGTTCTCGTCGTTCTTCTTGCAATTTGTTCGTGTTACGACGAAAATATCGTATCTTCGTAGATTCGACGGATGCTGCGGAGCGTTTCATTATCTTTTTCGACGTATCGTATGTTACATACCGCGGACATACTCTCGGTTAGAGTATGCTGTTACATAAAATACTAAGCGCGGAGAAAGTATTTCGTAATTGCTGGTTCTGCTTTTTCTTTTTCTTTTAATATCGGATCAAATGTAGCCGATGACTGATTTAGCAACTCATGCTCAGGGTATTTTACAACTACAATAGCGGCTGATACTACCGTCCGATATGGGTCAGTTCCGTAACAGACGTCGGATAATTAAATAACAATGAACTGCTGGCAACGTTGGCAAGCACTCCGATCTAACGTGCGGATAATGAAAACACGTTCACGTGCAAAATCTGATCTTACGTTGCAGTTTAAACGAGCCTTCTGCACAAAAATTCGCTGTTTCGTTTCAATTGAAATTCTGCCTTAGTTAAAACCATTATCGCGTCCCGCAAAAAGGAGTACAGTAAATTCTCTCTAATTGACGCTTAGATTGTACAACACAAAAATGGAAAATTTCGATATATGAGATACGATTATTCGAGCTTTACAGCTCGTTTTTGTAGCTACCGATCGTCAACGACTGTAAAAATGAGTCGCATGGCTCGAATAATCGTATCTTCTCAAATTGTACATTTTTGTTTACAAGCCGAGGGACAATTGAAGAGAATTTGCTGTATTTTCAATTCTTTACCACTATGATACGTATGTATATATATATATAGAATATATAAGAATCTTGTATATATATATATATACAAGATTCTACATACTATATATATATATATATATACAAGATATATATGTACAATATATATTGTACAGCTTATATAAACATTGTAGATATATATAGAATCTTGTACAATGTTTATATAAGCTGTACAATATCTGTCTCTTATACACATCTAGATGTGTATAAGAGACAGATATTGTACAGCTTATATAAACATTGTACAAGATTCTATATTTATTCTATATATATCTACAATGTTTATATAAGCTGTACAATATCTGTCTCTTATACACATCTAGATGTGTATAAGAGACAGATATTGTACAGCTTATATAAACATTGTAGATATATATATATATATATAGAATAAATATAGAATCTTGTATATATAGTATGTAGAATCTTGTATATATATATATTGTAACAATATATATTGTACAGCTTATATAAACATTGTACAAGATTCTATATTTATTCTATATATATATATATATATCTACAATGTTTATATAAGCTGTACAATATATATTGTACAGCTTATATAAACATTGTACAAGATTCTTATCTCTTTACATCTTCGTAGTTGACGTTGAAACAATCTTTGGCATTTTGGAAGTAGGAATGAAAAATCCTGCTGATACATACAGTGGCGAACTGAAGAGTGTTTGTACATCATATAAATCGCAATAACATTTTTAAAACTGAACCAAATGACCTCTCAGATTGTCCGTTTTTGTGCACAGGCCGCGTCGATTAGGGAGAATTTTACATAACAAAAACCCGATACGCGCCGCGGGCAAACGACGAAGCTTCG